TTTCCTGTTATTGCAACATTTTTTGGGTTCTTTGATATAATGTCATTGAGCGTCAGTATGTTGATTAAACTTATATTTCTATTTAAAAATCTAGACTCATCTCATTCGGCGCCAACAGCCAGATACGACGTTCGGGGTGGTCGTTTTGACAAAAGCCCTGCAACTCAAAAGGCGGGCAAATCTCGGCGGTATGAACTGAAGGCAACGCTCGCGGATAAAACAGAAATGACGCTTGGTGCGCAGACTGAAGAAGAGCTGGATAAGTGGCTACGATGCCTCAACGAAAGTGCTGGTACGCGGAGAACCTTTTCTTCTCTATACGCTGGCATAAATAATGGCGTTTCAGCTTCTTGGAGCCATTTAACTACGCCGGTACTCTTGAGTTCTCTGCTTTCTTAAAATATCCGAAGAACTGGAGACACGCATGAATGCCCGTTAAAACGGGATTCATTTTTGGGTACATTACGGAGGTTTTGGGGGGCTTTTAAAAGTACAAAAAGTTTTAGACAGTTTGTAATTGCGCATCTGACTCGGAAACAGTACTGCAGAGTGTACTGTCTTCTTCACTCATCGGTAGGCGTTTAAAATTCCCGGTATATTAGTCTTTACGAATGTGGCTGCCTTCTTCTGGCTGATTGGTACGCAGTAAGACTGCTATAACTATTTGTGCAGTCTCAACGGATGTCGGTTATAACTCCGCCTCCTCTTGACAAAAGACGGAGAAATACTATGGTGTTCATTACGTATATTAAATGTTTGTAGAAAGTGACACAATGTTTAAAAAACCGCCTTTACATACAGAAAAATTTAAAATTTAAATGCGAACTATAAATCTCGTTAAGCCAGTAATAGCGAAAATACTTCACGGGACGCTTATTATTTCCTCCACCTGCCTCTTTTAATTCTACACTTCCCCTTCTCATCTGTTACTCACACTTTGTCAAATTCATTCCGTCCTACCTGGTTGCTGGGCTGATTTCCTGTAGATGTCACGAAAAAGTAAATTTCAGTACTTCATATCGGCCTTTCTCTCCTAAGTTCTTCTGTATAAAGTTTAAAAAACATTTTTTTACTGAGGATTCAGACACGTTAATTTAGCCTATTAATATCAGTATCATCTTCGATTGGCACGTGTGCATAGCTAAAACTGCGATATGTGTGCATACTCAGCGATCTGACGGGGTCACGAATTAAGTAAAGCTCATGCATCGAGTGTTGTTGTGTTTGTTGAGACACTACTGGATTAGTGCTGAACAGGTGTTGATTTGCTGATTTTTTTCCCCGGAATTCTCCCACCCACGATTCCAATTCTCTGGGCATCAAGTTTTTGCAGCGCATTTCCGCAGCAAAACCGGAGACTGTGCTGAAAGCTCTAAAACGGTCTACAACTTGTACAAACTATCTAATCGCAACTCTTTAACCATAAATGCCTTTCTTCTGATGGCCTCCACTCCCAATGATTTTCCCGCCACCCCTTCATCAAACTAGAAAAGAAAATCTATCGTGGCCATTCTGGGGATCAATCCGTGCCCAAAAACTAAGTTTCGCACGTTCAAGATAATTTATCAGGCCATTTACTGCAGGTCTCATGTCGCAAAATTTCACAAGGAGATTTTTATTGCTGAGTTCTGATTTTCTAGACGAATTTATTGTCTCTTGTTATTTTGACATTCAAAACATGCGTATGGACTAAATTTTAACGTGTAAGGAGAAAATGTTTACACCTTTCTTCGTTTCATATGCACTTTTATTTTCAGCTTCAACAGAAGGCTATAATACAGCGCCAAGTAGTCGTCACGGAAGCCTTCACAGACTGCAAAAACACCACAAGGACGGTCGGTCAACACTTGATAGAAAACACAAACATTAAACTTTAAACCACATAACTTTATTCAAAAATTGCCAGTTCTTTACCTTACAAAAGCTGTCTTATTAAAATATTTACTTGTTCTTTTTTCATTGCCGTTTTTGATTCATAATTTGAATTTTTCCTTTTTTGAGTAAGATTGTGCCAACCTATTTTCACTTGATATTGCAGTTTTTTAAATTAAAAATTGTCCTATTTATTGTATTTTTGAATGTCACATCGAACATATGTGATAATGGTGAAAGTAAATTTGTTTCCTGGACGGCATGAATTCTACTGAGTAAGAATGTGTTCATCGAACTTGAAGTCCAGAAACGTTTAACCGAGGAGACAGCCCTTAACCTCTCGCGAAGAGTGCGATATAAACATAAATATGTTGAATAATTGAGATAAAATAATACATATTTTACTTGTTGAACCGCGACGGGAAATTCTGACACACAGAAATTATAGATACTTTATTTCTCTATTTTGTTTCTATAAAAATTTAACTAATTAAGTAATGTTTAAATAATACATCCATTGTACATTAAGGAAATCATTTTAATTAGTTAGTAAACAGTTGTAAAATCAAAACGTTAGCGTTTTTATGAGTAATGTAATCTCAGAAGTATCGTGGGAGAATGGGGAAGGACTGTTTTCAAGAACGCTGTTTATTCGTGCGGTTAGCTTCTGTCATTAGCAGACAAAATTTTGTCTTTTCTGTTTATATAATTAAGAAATCCAAGTGTGCGCAAATTGCGTTTGTAATAAGGAAGGAGAATATTACAGGATACAAAAAAAAGAACAGAAAATAGTTCACAATGATTTGCACAGTTTAAAGCACGCGAAGTAAACCATGAAAGTGCTCCCAGTGAAAACAATTTACAAATGAACACAAATATTTACCGAGTAAACTGTTAGGTTTTACTATATATTCCTTCTATTCTATGACGTCAAGACATCAGGCTTCGTGCTTATTTATAGACTATTATTTAGCAGTGACAAAGTGTTAAAGGTTTAAACGTAGCACAGAGCACATAAAAAACCGAAAAATGAATTAATCACAAGAATTAGAGTCTTTATAAGTGAGCCTTTTTAGCGTGGATCTAGTTATCAGGGATATTTACGAATAATATAAACGATAGTGCAAAATATAAAAGCAAAGTTTTGGTATTTGCCGACATAAGCAAACTAAAAGCTTTACTGGAGGCATTTGTGGAAATCTCAATGTAAACCTTATATCAATATACACGTTTAGATTTTCCGAGGAATGTTCCAGCCCTTTGGAGAAATACTTAATACAAATACCTTGGCCCTCAGTAGCCTTTTAGTTCCTTCCACCTTAATTTCTATCCTTCCGTTTTTCATCAAGAAATTCTATACCATTTCCCTATCCAGATGACGATGTTTGCGTTATTCAGGATTTAATATTCGTTAGTAGAGGTAAACACTTTACATGCTTCGATGTACCAAATGGACTTAAATAGCAAAAAGCCCATTTTATTGACAGGTAGTTTCAAACTCCTTCGTAATCTTCACCTTAAATGCGATGTTAAAATAAAATCAGCAGTTTTTTGGCCGCATCATATTTATCACTTTACTTCTTTCATTTTATAAGCGAAACTCTTCTGATGACCTTAGTTTGCGCAGTAGGCGCCATCTGTTCAAACATAAACTTGATTTACACGCATCTGGAAGACCTCTGTACTAAGCACCTTCAGTGGAAAAATATATTAAGATGTTCGAATAAGCATTATTGATGTGAAAACATATATCTGATAACTTGGATCTGAAAGACGAAGACAGAGCTCCTTGTTGGAGTTACAGTAGTGCCTATAGAAAAAGACCACCACAAGTATTTTGCATCTGGAATCATTGAAAAATAGCGTTATGCAGTATAAGATCGACAGTCAGCCTTCGAACAACTTTTTGTATAACCTCCGGAATGTGTTTTTCACAGCTTTACCGGGCCAGCGCTTATTTGTTTATGCAAGGCGCAGCTTTTAACGGACGACTTTGTAAAGAAAGCTACTATGTTGTGCCTTACTGGATCAGTAGAAGAATATGTCTTGTTTCTGTTTGGAAAAAGGCTGAGATAACATGTAGACAGCAGGAGTTAAGGCATGGCGAACGACTATCGTCCCTAATATTACAAAGTTCCAAGACATTCTTGACTCATTGCAAACACTAAAGCATTCTGGTATAATTCTTATTAACTTGCAACTGTATTACGTTGTTTTAGCTTAAATATACGATACCGCCATAGATTAGAAAATGTAAGAATGTAAGCTGTCATAAGGTACGGTCAACCATCTTTCAAACGATTTGCCCAGTCAACAATTCATATATGCAGACCTCAGCTGGATGAAATGCCATCGAAAGGGCCCGTTTGCAGGCAGCTGAAATACCTGCTCCCTATATCCTCCATTTCTAGGTTATCTTGCACGCGAAAGCAGCAGCAACCCTACGGCCTGCCCTCGTACATGCAAATAACTGCCTTTCTAACGTCAGTGCCCATCATTCCGGCCGAACCTGGGGAAAGGTGGGTTGTACAGTTTGGGAAAATTCCTCAGTAAAGGACTTTTCCATTCTGCTTTGTGCCTAAGAGTCGCCTGTAGGGTATGCGCCGAATGTCAGAGTCCGTAGGTGCACACATTCACAGGCTGGCAGGAAGGGCAATGCAGGTGACGGGGGGAGGGGGCAGTCTAAAGAGAGCGAGAGAAACCGAGGCGAAGAGCAGCCCTAACACTGCGGTGCAATATCCAATCAGAAGGGTTCTGCTACTGTGCAAATTTGAATAAATTTCTCTAGTTTTCATGGTGAGACGAAATCAAACGACGGCCAGCACACCGTGACGGAACTTATGTAGTAGTGGTAGTAGTAACCGCCCAAAGTACTTGTTGACACTTAGTTGTAAACGAAACACTTGGTCAACATTCAAAGCCATATTAATACAGAAGCGTTCAAACTCTATTAAAAAGACATGGCAATCACTGCATGGACACTTGCACGGTACGCAGCCAAACTGAAGTTACACTATCATTATAGGCTTGTGATTAATGTTGAAAGATAACTGTTTGCAGTTATGGTCCTCCGACTGTAAAAATGCAGATTCGAATTCAAGACAACCACCCATATTTTTGGCCCGCCGCGAACTTTGCAAACTTAAGGAGCACTTGTTATTTTAACAATTATTTATAGAGCAACACATTATTTTGAAAGCGAAGCAAGTATACCTGACAGACAAATCTGTCCAAAAAGAAACAACGTGAACATTTTAGATAGGCATATCTGTGAGCAGTCACAAGTAAATCACAAGCCTTTGTGAAGAGATTGAAATGCCAGAGTAGACATTCGAAATGATTTTGTTGCCTTAAAAGAGGTTTTTTTGACAGGCAGAAGTATCAATGGCTTAAGTGTGCGTAAAACATTGAAGATACTGATATCCAAATATAATATTTTATTAAATGACTTGTTTCCTCAAATTCTCCTCTAAAAATGAGTAATGATCTAAAATTGCATCATCCGATTAGATGAAACGAAGCTGCATGTTGGATGGAATTCTATTTTACGTTTATGTCCAAATACTC